GAGCAATGGATTAGAAGAAGCTTTATAATAATCTAGAATGAAAAAATTATAAGACATGTATAGGAGTTTTTAATTTGTCACACTCAAAATTGAATATGATATTCCTTTATATTTTGATAATGCCAAAAATGCTTCTGACCAAAAAAGTAAGAAAATGTTCGAACATAAATTTTCGATAAGCCATATGAAATTTCTAATATACGGTTGAAATATCTGAAACTGTTAATTGTCCTGAACATACTCATACTGTCGCAAACACCTCTCAAACAAGTGTCTAGCCACTAAGGTCTCTCATCTCATATGACCTGAAAATAAAGAAGACTCGTCAAACTCACGGTGGACCCTGCGACCTATGTATGGTATCCAGATGACATTCTTTACTCTTAGAGCATCAAGCCTCATCCTGTACTACAAAACACCACCTAAGTGAAAAGTTCTTCATCTTTGAACCGTGGGAGGTCACCTTCAACAGCAGACGGTCCTATAAAAAACAAAGTTAAGCATAAAATATATTGAAGTTAAACATATATATCACTGTCATAACCTGTATGCGACATGATCAGCATACTCCGTGAGCACTAATCGATTAACGAGTCCTCTCAGAAATACTCCACCAGTGTGAATAAATGCCTATGTAAAAGCACGAGTCGTAACACCTGTTTCATCGCCAGTATGTGTATCATCATCGATAATAGGATATGCCAACACCTCATCTACAACCTCCACATCTATAACCTGTACCTCATCAGGAACATATAACTCCTCTGCAATAGGAACCTCCTCAGCAACAAGTACCACATCAACAACAAGTACCTTATGAGCAACATGTACCTGATCAACAACATGCACCTAATCAACAACATGTACCTCATCAAATCTAACTGCTCGACATTATAGTGAGTGGAATTGGGTCTGCGATTGCTCAGCCAACCATTTTCTGTGAGAATTGGTTAGAGTTACTAGTCCAGCCCGTAGCTGGAAAGCGTCAGCCGCATCAGCCCTATTCGGGGCTACCGCCCTATCAACGGTCTTGCCGACAATGGTCCTGTCCTTCCACTTGGTTCTCACTGCAAAATGATAAAAATTTATGAACGAAGGCTGATTTCCAAGTATCTAAGCAGTATCGAAAATTCTAATAATTTTCAGAAATTTTCAAAAATAACTGAACTACCGAAAATTCTGAAAATTCCAAAACAAATGGATTTAAAAGAATCCAAAATTTTCAAAGTTTCTGGTACAAAGACTTGGAAAAATCATAATTTTCGATAAAAACCTATGAAAATTCCGAAAGAAACTTCAGACAATTATAATATTCTTGGTAATTTACTCATTTTTTTACAGAATTTCTGGTAGCTCCTCCAAATTGTCGATATCGCACTAGAGATTTTGAAATTTCCACTTTTTGAGAGTGAATTATGAAAATGGTAGAAAACTTTAGCAAGGCTATTAAGGTATTTTCATTGAGGTGGGGGGGGGGGGGGGGGGGGGGGGGGGGGGTTGCTAGGTTCAATTTTGGGGGTGAGAAATTAAAACCTCAATGTATGGATTCTTAATTCTAATATGAATGGAGGAAGTGCGCCTAATAGGTAGAAATGACAAGGTTAAGAGCAATGACTGACTAAAAAGTCTTTCATCCAGAAATAAAATTTGCTTATTATCTCCTTATTTGGAATTCTATTTTTTTTTTCATTTCTCACTCTAACTATTGTGAGTCAAAAATCTTGATAGATTCCCCTTTTGCGGATTATTCCAGTAAAATTTATTAAAATAAATATGATGTAAAAAGTATTTTTTTAATAAAAAGTAATATTTTATTAAAAAAAGATTGATACACAAAAAAATAGGAAGACTAGGCCAAAAATTCACTCAAAAATATCTAAATCTAAAAAGAGGCAAACCTAACCTAATTTTTACATAGTCACATCTAATCTAAATAGAAAGAGAATAAAACATAGTGAATAAATTAGATGTGTAGTCTAAAAATCCGCACAACAATTGTATTCTCTACAAATGTGAGTAATTAGAAAATTCATATCCAAAACAAATTTTAAGCAGTTGGACCATCTGTTTCTAAGTTGTCAAGGAACCTGATCAAGATTCATAGTAGAGAAAGCATTAACAACCATAGTTGAGTCAGATAACAACCATAGCTCTTTGAGGGGAAAAGGCTTTAGAGTATGCGATCCATAAATTATGTGCACTCAATTGAATATGCAAATTAAGAAGATTAGACAGTCAATTCTAGAGCAACAAAGCAAAGGAGCAAGAAAAGAAATGGTGCTCTGAATTTACGCATGTGTATTACAAAGAGAACACATGGAGATAACGCAAAAACCCTTTTCGAATGAGCTGATCATTCATAGGAACTTTGTTGTGTTGCAGCCTCTAAATCAGAAGGGACTTTGAGGGTGGAATATGACTACTCTATATTGAAGTAGCCCAAAGAGAAGGAGAAAGAGGTTTACTCTTGAACTGGTATGCTTTTTTAAGTGACAATTTTCCATTAGAAGAAGCCGTCCAACAAAGTTGATCCTCACAAAGCTCTTCAGCCATGTAAATACCCGAAATTCTCTCTTTTAAAAAAGGAAAAGGTCAAACCATACAGAGAGAAACAACCAAATATTATTGTGAAAATAATAAATTTTTTTTGCATCCAAGTTGATATTCCAAACGAAAATGGAGCATAAGTCAATCTCATTAAAGAAGGAAGAGCCAGACCAAGAGTGTCTCCAAAAATTAATCCTTGTACCATTACCTAAGGACCAAGAAAAAATGTCTAACCCAGTGGCATATTCTTCCTTAATACCTTTCGAAATAGAAGAAAAAAATATGATGTTTGATACAACCAAAGTTCCTTGACACTCTTCTTCGAAGAATGCAAGCCCGATCTTCCTTAGAATTGAGAAACTCCCAACTCAGCTTGAGATTGGTAGCTTGGTTGAGACAAAATAGAGATCTAATATTAAGGCCACCACTAATTTTAGGTTGACAAACTTTCTTCCAAGAAACTGTTATCATCTTCTTTTGAGTAGTGTTGCTGCTCCAAATGAAGTTTTTATAAGCTCTTTCAATAACTTATAAGAGAGAAATATGCCACGAGTAAATCCCTAAAGTATGAGTTAACATAGAGTGAATCACTGATTGCACAAGAATTTTCTGACCTGTAATAGAAAGAAGAGACCCTTTCTATGCAGAGAATTTTGTCAACAATTAGTTGTAGGTATTGCACTTTAATGCTTCCTTTAAAGATGGGAGCCCCGAGATAGTTAAAGGGGAGAACACCTTTGTTGAGGTCAGTATAATGAATTAAATCATTGAATTTGGAATCACTCATTCCTCCCGTAAATCAAGCGGACTTGGCAGGACTGAAAACCTGACCCGAAACACTAACATAGGCAGAGAAAAGAGAAAAAAAGCCTTGACATTGAAAGTGATTCCTTTGCAAAAAATGAGAATGCCGTATATAAAATATGAGAAGGAAAGCAGAGATTCCTGACTCCCTTCATGGACTTGATGATACCATATGCGACCAAGCTAGTGAGACCTTTGCTAAGAACTTCCCTATACAAGATAAAACAGAAGAGGAGATAGGAGATCCTTTTGCCTAAACCCCTCTTGCACAAGTAAAATAACTATGAAGCTTGAGATTCACACTAAAAAAAAAAAAGCAAAAGAGAATACTTATGATGTGAAAAGTATTAAAGATCTCTAAACACTTCTCAAATTTAAAATTATATCACACCTTAAACAAGTATACAAATAATGGAGTAAAGAGAAGGAAAGAGAAAAAACAATGAAGAGGAGGTAAAAATTTAAGTTGCTTGAAAATATTAAGCTCCCTAAAAAGTAATCCGTACCCCATTTTTTATCATGGTATAAATTTAACTAAAATTTTCGACAAAATTTAACATAACAAAGAATTTCTAATACAAATACATCTTGAATAACAATTTGAGTAAATACTTTAAATGAGAAACAAAATTGAATATATATTTATGAAAGTTAATGAAATGTGACAAAATAATTTCAACGTATTGAAATGGGAATCCAATTCTGGTAAAATAATTTCTAAACATATATGAATTTAAAATGATATAAATGATTAATTTTATATTAAAATATAATATTTAAAACATGTTTCTTTGTTATAACAAACATATAATAAAGTATCAAGCTAACATACCTCGTAAGATATATGTTAAGGATACTACATATTAAATTTTTTTAAATATAATAAAATCACATTTAAAGTTTTAAAAATTAAATTCATGAATTCTAAAAAAATATTATTATAAATAATTTATTAATATGTACTTTTAGAACACATATTAATATTTTTCTTAATAAAAATTACAATAATTTTTTAATAAATAAACTTAACCGTCTTAAAATTTAAGAGTTTAAGTTAATTTAATTTAATCAGAATACAATTCTAAAAAAATAATATTAAAACATTTTTTGGTTAAAATTTAATTATGACAATTTTCTAAAAACTTGATTTATTTGAGATTTAATCATGTAAATGTTTTCACCTGATACATAGTCTATTTTACGAATACTAATAATCACCGACCTTGTAAACACAAGTAAATTGTTTTATAAACATTAATAAAATTAAAATCAGCATAAACATCATTAGTAAATTTACACAAATAATTGTGATTGGATGATTTTGTACATCTTTTTTCATTAATCATCCATAACCATTATACTAAAGAAGAAGTACATCAAAGATTTTTAACTATAAATGTAATGATCATAAATTTTCAAAATAAATCAATACAATGTTAATCATATTTTTCTATTTAAAGCTTCTTTCATTAATCCATTTTCTTAATATGTATCAATCAATCAATTATCTTACTCATTTTGGGGCATATTGAGTAAAAAAGACATTTGTTTTCTGAAAAAATTTCCCTTATTGTTTGCGAATATTCTTTTTACCTATCTATAAATATACATAAACTTCTTGAAACCATTTTCGTTTCCATACCAATACCATGAGAAGCTTTCACAGAAACCGTTCTCTTGAAAACATTTTCCACTTTCTTAAGGCTTTCACCACTCTCTTACTTTTCTACCACTCTTCTTTCTTCCCTATTTTCCTCCAATCATTTTCCCATTTCTATGCTCTTTCCATCACCGTCTTCTCCAATTCTTTCTTCGCATTTCTCATCCTCAATGCCATCATTATCTTTCTCTATATACTCTCCAATCAAAACTGCGACGGTGACGTTTCCAGCGACGACACTTATAACCATAACCAAAACCAAAACCAGTTTCTTAAAATAAATGCACCGGAGTTATTTACCGATCCGGTAGAGTCTCTGCCGGAGAAACAACATGATCCGGTGGTAGAGGCTTCACCAGAGAAAGTTAGTTCGGTTTTTAAGGAAACCGTCACGGCGGTTACTGAGACCACGACCACGACAATGACTAGTTGTACGACTGTGACAACTAGTGGAGGAGATGATAAAGTTTCGGTTTCGGAGAAAAAGTGTTACCAGAGAGTACTGTCGGAGTTTTATGAGCGGAGGTGTGTGGTGGCGCATGAACGGCGAGAGATGAAGAAGGAACCGCAGAGGCAATTTTACGTGGAAAATATGAGTAAAGAAGAGTTTAATCGAACCGTAGAGGAATTCATTGCTAAACATAAGAGGATGCAAAGGGAGGAGCAACTACGGTTGACTTTGGCTCCATAAAAGGAAAATTGTCATAATATTGCTCCATTTTATGAAAGGAATCCTAGTCCATTTTTTTAGTATGTAACGTTCTTCATTGTAATAATTGATCCCATTTCTAGGGTTTATGAAAGGAATCATAGTCCATTTTTTAGTTGACTATGTAGTGTTCTTTGATGGTAATAATTGATCCCATTTCTAGGGTTTAATGGAATACAATTTTTGTTTACTTTTGACAAATGAATACTTTTTGTTTTGCATGTTATTGTTGTTCCTAAAATTTCTATAAGGAATAAAATATCTCTTTTAGATCATATATGTTAATCACAATATCTCATTGCTCAATAAATGATTGAAGGGAAATAGTGATTTTATTCTCCTACAATTAATCACAAAAGCTCCATGAGGAGAGTTGCTTTTGTTGCTAAGAAACCACAATGCTCATCGCCTTGCAAATATGAAGGGGATTAAAAAAATATTTAATAGAAAGATCAAAAAGCTGATTTTTTTTATAGGAGGCTGATTTAAACTTATTTTTATCAAAAAATAGTAAGAATCACAACTATAAAATTGTACTTAAATTTTGTCGAAAAATTAATTGCCTCAAAAAACCGTATATATAATAATAATAATAAATAATAATAATAATAATAATAATAATAATAATAATAATAATAATAATAATAATAATAATAATAATAATAATAATAAAATTCTAACAAATATATATACTTTTTTATTTAATAATTCAACATATCTACACATTGAATCATTTTACACATTTTTTATAAATAGAAATATCGTGCAATAAAAGCTTTCCCTATATTTATTATATTAGCAAGAGATGGAAATGCGAATAGATGTAAAAATCGGAAAAAAAAGGAAAGTAGAGCATAAAAAAAGTGAATTTTTGTTTAATCGTTGATGTATACTATTTTATTTGTAAAATATTATGTAGGTTAATTATACACTCAAACCATAGCCCTTTGTTTCTGGATTGTGAACATGAGGTATACTTTCAAATTTGAGAACAAATAGTTAGCTGTGCAAAGTGGGTGGAGATACGGTGATAATGTTGAGATGGAAGCTAGAATTAAGTCCTGTGCGAGTGACCTTAGAAGCTGGAATATAAGAAGGAGCTGGCTAGACATATGGACATGATGGAACGGTTCCGAGGCAGCCATGAGCAGTATACATCTGCAATTTTCTTAGAAGCACAGAGTCAATATAACAACTTACTCATTCAGCAGGTGACAAAGGGCAAAGATGCATTGGTTAAAAGACGGTGACCTCAATATGAAGTTCTTTCATCAATCGGCTATGGTTAGAAAGAAATTCAAAAAAATTGAGAAATTGGTTAAGGTGGATGGTAGTCTTATTTCGGATCAACAGGGGCTGGGAGATCTTGCGGAAAGTTATTTTGAACAGAAAAATTTCATTTGGCTCTATTAGAGATGCATCCAGACAAATCTCTAGGACCGAATGGCTTTAATCCTGTATTTTATCTAAATTTTTGGGATATTTATAGCGATGATATTTATGGAGCAGTTAAGTGTTTGATTCTTAAATATTTTCATCCTAGTAATATGAAAGATTTTCGGCCTATTTCTTTGTGCAATGTGATCTATAAAGTGGTTTCAAAAGTCTTTGTTAATCCCATGAAGTCTTTATTGGAGAAGTGTGTGTTAGAGGAATAATCGGCTTTCATGGAGGGCCAATCAATCTTAAATAATGCCATGTTCGCAAATGAAGTTATTCATGCACTCAAGAGAAATACGAAAGATAAAAAGGCTCACTTAGCTCTGAAGATTGATATTAGTAAAGTGTATGATATAGTGGATTTATGGATGTCAACTTGCCTCCGTTAGCGGGGATCTCCGCGGAGATTCCCCGTTTGGGGTTCCAAAGACGGAGAATTTTCTCATGCGGAGACGAGAATGAGGAACAAAGTCTCTTCGAAGACATTTTGGGGACGGGGGTGACGTAAATATCTCCTGTCCCGTGGAGTCCCCTCTCCGCCTAAAATACCATAATATCTTTAATTTATATATAATTTTACATTTATATGTAGGTTTGTTTGTCATTTCATATAATTTATCTTATAAACAAATTTAAAATATAAATGTGTTGCTAGTAAAAGAGTGAGATCTAAATGATTATTTTAAATTTCTTTAAGTTTGAAATTTAGGTTGTCATGACACTCAATATTATAGATTAAATATTGTTAAAACAATATATTTATCATAAAGGAATAATTTCTAAAATTCTTGTGGTTAGTTTTTAAATATTTTACTATTAACTCGGTTTAAAATAATAAAAAAAAAATTATGTTTATGAATCTTCGCATGAACCTTGGGGATCCGCGGGGACAGGGATGGGGGACAAAATCCTTCCGTGGCGGGGATCCGGGATGGGGATGGTGAATAGATTCGAGGGCGGAGATTGAGATGAGAATGCATCCCCTGCCCCGCCCCTCCCCATTGACATCCCTAAGTGGATTGGGGATTTCAGAAAGAGGTGCTTAAGAAGATGGGTTTTACGGATAAATGGATTCACTGAATGATGATGTACGTTACTTCGATGTACTATAATATTCTAGTTAACTCAGAGAATGTTAGACCTATTGAACCAGGAAGAAGGTTGAGACAAGGAGACCAACTGTCTCCTTATCTCTTCATTCTTATTTCAGAGGGTCTTTCGGTCCTTATCAAGGGTGTTATGGCTAAGGGAGATATCCATGGAGTCCAAATTTGCAGAGGGGCACCTAAGTGTCCAATCTACTTTTTACTGACGATTGTTTTCTATTTCGTAGGGCCAATTTATAAGAAGTGAGGACTCTTATGAGTTTGCTCAATACCTATGCTGAAGCGTCAGGCCAAGAGATTAATATGATGAAATCCGAAGTCTTCTTTAGTAAAAATTTGTCTAATTCGGCTAAAGAGGATCTTGCTAGGATCATGGGAGTTCACCGTGTTCTAGGGGCTGGTAACTATTTGAGACTGCCTTCAATGATTGGAAGGATCAAGAAGGCTACTTTTTCCTATATTAAAGATTGGATCTCAAAGAGAATCAACTATTGTATAGGTTTTTTATTGTCTAAATCCGGTAAAGAGTTTATGATCAAATCTATGCTCCAAGCCATTCCGCCTTACATTATGAGTATATATATTCTACCGGATACAGTGATAAACGATGTAGAGAAGATGTTGAATTCTTTTTGGTGGGGTGGAGGTAGCAACAATAAGGTGTTATACCCCAATTTTTTCCCCTAAGATCTATCATCATCTCATATTATCAATACATCAAGATCACACATTAGGGTTTATTCTCTCTTCTACTTCATCCTATCTTTAAGTATGCTCTTGAGGGATCACAAAGCACCTTGAATTGTGTATCTTATACATGTGCTCTTTTAAATAACATCAATTGCATCCATCTCACCATCTAACCTAGGGTTTTGAGGGATGGTCCTCAGTCAAATGATTCTTCAATGAATTGAAAGAGCTTAAGCTTCAAGGCTATGTATATGATATCAAAGATTTGTAGTTCAAAAAGCTCTCTCAATTTACTTAGATTAAATTTTCCTCAAAGTTGGTGGTGGTATTCATCAAGAAAATTCATAGGTTCACGTGTTTATTTCCATGTCTTCTTCAACAAGTTTCATTGAGACTTAAGCTCCATCTTTGATTATGATTCAAGACAACATCATTTCAAGGCCTACTGTGATCCATCGTGCTTTATTTTTCCAAGAAAGTTCAAAAAGATTCAAGGTTGGTTCAACAAGTTTGACCTAATTGAACAAGTGTTTGATTCAGTGATCATAAGTGCATAACTATCTCAATTTTCAATATTTTGAGTTAGTTCTTTTTGCTATGGGTTCTTATCATCATCTACAACAACTTCTATTCACATGACAAGATCCAATTGTACAAGAAAAATCATCAAAAATTGAAAGGGGTTTCAAGTCATTTTGACACTCTCTGAGTTAGGGTTTACTGGCTTCCAAGGACCATATGTTGCTCATTTTTTGATATTTTTTATTGATTCCAAATCCATGGTTCTCTTCTAAGAGTCCTTAACAAGTTATCTTCAAGGATCAAATGCTACTTTGGCATGGAAGACCATTTAAGTTTGAAGAAGATTACAAGCCTCTTTGAAAAGCCTTTGAATCTTAGGGTTTGACTTCAAAGGATCATAACTTGGTCAATTTTTATCTCCTTGAGCTCATTTTTTCCACAATAATCTTTGGGATTTCTACTACAACTTTGTTTCAATATGCAAGACTTGAAAATGCTTGGAAAGTTGTTGAAGAATTGAAAAAATTATAGGTCTTTTGTGAATTTCCCCAAATTTGCTCATCATCTTCCAAAGACTATAACTCTTTCAATAAATATGATTTTTGAGTGATCTCAATTCCATAATTCAATTTAAGAGGTCTACTTCATTTCATCTTCAAAGATCAAGATCAAATTTTGAGTGGAAGGACATGTAATTTTGAAGAACATTATAGGTCATTTTGAAGTTCAATACTTAGAAATATTTATAAGTACAAAGATCAGTTTGTTTTTCACGATTTAAAGAGGACATAACTTCCAACTCAATTATCCAAATGGAGTCTTTCTTGGCACATTTTAAATATTGTGACCTTGTCTTTCAAATGCTTCAAGAATCATGTCGTAAAGTCTCATGAGTTGTGTGCACCATGAATTCAAAGTTGGCACCTTAGAACTAAAGTTTCTCATGGCAGTTAGATTGCAATTTCTATAATGTGACTTCTGATCACCAAATTTGTGCGTGTTTTCCACTTAAAAATGATTAGCATAGATGTTTGGGTCATTTAGAGTGTTAAAACGCATCATTTGGATGAGTTTTGATACACATGTGATTACACTTTCTTCATGACCGCAGGTGTGCATGATTTCCACTCAAATTGTATCATTCACCCCTCCTCTTGTTTCCATTCACTTCTCTTATAAATACATACCATATTCCACTCATTTATACAAGCTTGGATAACCAAA